AATATCACAAGTCGGAATTATTCTAAACAAATACTTACACATGCCACAATGAATGCAAAGGAACCCATTGCTTGTTTACACGTAAAATTTGCTGTAAATTTTATATAAACTCGAATTTGGACGAAACAAAATAAAAATTTTACCAGGTCAACGCTAGCATAACGATGGGAGTTGGCGATCTTTTCGCTTCGTGCTGCAGCTAAAATGATCTATGTGGCATGCTTAGTGCAGTTTCATACATTTAATCTTATTTGTCAAAACGAAGCAAGCGTTTTATCTGCCATAGCCCTAAGACGAAGAAATTCGCGTAAACATACATAGTAGGCGCGGCCGAAGCGTAGGGCGCGAATATTCAAATAAATTTTCATGACGTGTCATTCTTCATCGTTCAAATTCGTTTTAGTAATCATAAGAATACGCGTTCTTGGGAGCGAATTCGTATGCACAATCGTTTTCGGTTTCAGATTTGTATTAGCTACGAACACCAGATATTTACTCGCTAATAGAATTAAACTTTTGCGGTCGAAATCCAAAAGTGCGGCCAAAATTCGAAGCTTTGAAGAAATGATTCGAAATTTCGTACTAGGGGGTTTTCGGGGTCAGTAATTACGAATCCGTTGTCAGAATTGAAAATTTCAAAATGGCGGATGCAGTGTGGCGCCTGGTTAATTTCGAGTTTTTTAATTGGATTTATTGGAAAGATTTTGAGTGTGCAGTCTTATAGCCCACTCAATTTTAGTGTCACAAAGTGCAAGTTTGAAGTAGCTAGGACTTACTGTTGATTTTTGCCAATTCTTTTTTGTTGACGGCGCCAGTCATTTTCTTCCATACGAAGTATGTTCGATGATATGAAGTAAATTAACAACACCTTCAACAAAAAAAAATTCCAAAAATCAACCGTAAGTCCAGTATACGTTAAACTTGAACTTTGTTATACTTAAATGAAATGGGCTACAAAACTGCATACTCAAAATCTTTCTACGAAATCTAATTACAAACAGTTGAAGCTAATATGGATGAGCGTCTGTTCGAGAGGCTGAATTTTATTTCATTCATTAGCTAATACTTTTTATATTATATTTTTACTTTAAACATTTTTTTTACGAATTTTACTAGCCTTCAGACGTAGATTACATTTTGTTTTGTCGAATTTCCTTGACTCAAAGTACTTTTACACGGTTATAACTTTTCCCTTTAAATCAACCATAATGCTGTGCTTGAGCGAAGACCAGGAGAGACTTGGGCTACAGGCCGTTACTGTCAACGGTTTTCGCTTCTTAGAGAATCGCTTTAGCCAAGTTGATGATGAAAAAGCCCTATCTAGAAACTTTTTTTCAATTTTGGCCGCACTTTTGGATTTCGGCCGCACTGTGCGTCGTCCCTCTTTTTAATTTTTTCCCCAGTGGTTTAAAGTTTTCTAGGTTAATTGCTCCAAATTGCACATGCATATGTCTGTATGTCTATCCATTCACAGTACAAATTGTGCTTGTATGTGAGCAGCACAAGAGCCACAGCACAGCAAACCACAGGAAATTCAGATTTTGTGTGCTGTTGCTTCCGGTCTTACAGCTTTTATTTGAACGTCTCTTGCCAATATTTATATATGTACATAAGAGTATTTTGCATGTTTTCCCCATTCGCCTGATTCTTTTGCAACCACTACCGCTTTTTTCACACGTTTTATATTAGTGTGAACGTCAAAATGTACCGCAAAGTGTGCTGATTACGTTTTATTATTGTGTGTGTTTGTGAAAAAAAAACCCAGAGTGAAAAGGGAATGCAAAAAGTAATGGATAGCCCCTATAACCTACGCACAAAAAGATACAATAATTTCTCTACAGGTTTGTCATACGAAAATAATGTGTCGCATGTGGTTTTACTAAACTATAAATACATACATACATACAATTTTTAAATAAAAATTAAAACCAGTCCATGCCACAGGTTTTCAACCCGTGGCCAACAACACGGCAGTCGAACACGCATTGGCTACAGCTGTTGAGATAACGTAAAAAACATATGTACTTGAGTTAGTTTTCAAATATTTTGTTTTGTTTGCAGCTTCAAAACAACACATTATCCGTTCGCTTACATTGCGATGCATCTTTTCATTCAACCGTAGTTTTTAATCTTTTCTTAGTAGAAAAAGGTAATGGATTCCCATTTTTACATTGGGAACGGACGATTTAAAATTTGTTTGAACAAATTTCTATAAGATAGCCGAGTGTCAAGAATATTAAGAAAATAAAGCGAGAAAGCTCTTTTATTACTTCAGCTGTTTATAATTTCACCATGGTTGTCTACTATACATCGATGGCTGAGTGGAAGATCGACCTATCTCGGCAGCCAGTTCGAAAACGCCGAGGTAGGGTGTTCTTGAAAAGTTTTCTGAGATAGCGCGTTTTCGAACAGGCGGACGAGATGGGTCGATCTTCCACTCAGCCGTCGATGTATGGAAATAAGAAACGCCAAACCAAAATTTTATTTCAAAGAATGTATTTTTGATATTTGTTTCCGTGATTAAAATTTTAAATGTAAAAATTGTTGACTTTAGTGGCTTCTTGGCGTCATATAATTAATTTTATAGGGAAATTTCTGTTGAATTCTTTTTAGTGAATTTTTCATTTTTTGCCCAGTTAGGCGGAACTGTGCGGCCCCTGTCCCGTTGACAGGCACAAAATTTATTTATTTATTTTCGAAATAGTCTTGCAAAAATTCTTTAGATTCGAATGTATACGGCAAACTACATATACATATTTACATACATACATACATGTGCAGTATGTATGTGAAAAGTATTGTCGCAGTTAGTCTTGTGCAGCCATGCACTTACGAGTTTTTAGTTGCTACATTTCCTATTACAAGCAACACTCATTTTCATTAAATTTTACTCAAAAAAGTTGTTAAGAAATACATATGAATGTATGTATGTATGTATGGAAATTTCTTTTACTCTTTAAGATTTTGCTGTTTGTTGTACGTTGCCACTTGCACATTTACGCGCAATTATATGTGATTTGCTCAAATATGTGGAGAAAAGTGCTCAAACGGTTAACATATTTTTTTGCAGGCAGACTCTGTTTCATACATACATACATACATATGTATGTACATATATGCAATTTATTGACTGTGTCGGATTTTCACTTTTCCAACTGACAAGCCCAATTAATCGAGATTTAATACATATTAACCATTAAAATGGCTAATAAAATGTGAAATAATGAGTAATACCTGCTAAGCAATGTAACGCAACAAGTTTGTAAATTGAGATACATAATAGAGATACTATAAAAATATAAATACATTAGGGTGCATCACTATCCATAAAAAAAAATCGGTATTGTATTTACATTGGAATTGAAAAATTATTATATTTTGAGACTTTCGCCGAAATGTTTCGGTTTACGGGACAAGAATATCGATAAATCATACTTTATGATCCGACTGTAAATGCCGTTTTCGAAGTTGCCTTGCAAAAATACTTCAGTCTCTGGGGTATACGGCGAACCTTTATTCTGGTTTGGTCTAGTGCAGGGATGGGCAGACTTTTGGCTCTTAAAGTAGTCAAAGAGCTAGCAGGTGCTACGCAAGATGTAACTCAGAGTAAAAGGTATCTGACATCGGTATCTGACAGAAAGCGTTCAAATCCATGTTATGTTCTTCCCCATTATCTTCTCACATCTGTAGCTTAGGGCCATTCGCTCTGGCATCGGTTTGAAAGAGCCCCAAGAGCTCGTACTTGAAGTGGATGACCCTTTTGGTATTGGGGTGAGGACTGAAAGAAGTCAAACATGTGTCGGTTGGCGAAAGGGTAGATCGTTCTTCTCCACGGCCTCGTGCCTGGCTCCCTCCCAAGCTTCTCATACCAGGGTTACTGCCGGATTGTAACCTCGCCGACCATTCGTCAGCACAGATAATTCGTTTGAAGAGTCTATGGTGCCATCCGACAATCTCACAACTTTGAGGTGGGCTAGAACTGTCCGTGATCGCCTTTTTAGGAAACCCAAACCCCACGACACCCAAACGAATTAAGCCGATTTGTCTTTCCGCTTGCAGCTCCCGTCCTGTACATTTTCCAGAGGGACGCTCTCCCTTTAAGCGACCTTTGCCTCTTATGAGCTGACCGCATCACGCTGGCACCACTTTCGATGCCTTCACATACACGATCGCCTTAGGCACTTAATCCGCGTAGGTCAGAATGGGCCTTTTACGCAGGAGTGGCTCGTCTTCTAGAAGAATGTAACTGATCAGGTTCTCTCAAAGCCTGGTACTGACAATGTCCCGCGGACTAGTGCCTAACGGGAGTCCTCTGAACGGCGCCATTACCACTAAATTAACTGTAACGGAGGCCGGAACGTACTTTGAGGCCTGCCCAGGTGCTAACGGGACAGGGACAGTTGCAGCATTACCCTAATAACCGTTTCGGCTCACCTCATCATACCCAGGTAGTAGAATACTAGCTGAGGAATCGATGAACCCAATACGTTTCATATAATCATAGTCAAACGCATAGCCAGCGTCGTTACCGATCAGGTGGTAGAAGCCCGTAGGACCTGCTCTAAGTACAATCCACAGTATGATTTACTAAATATGTACTTTGTTGAGGGTCTAATTAACTACGCGTTACAATCATTAAAAGCGCGAAAAAATAAAAACAAAAATGAACTTAATTACAAAAATTACTTTCAGCAAAAGATAACTAAATTGTAGTCAATCATGAAATCGCCATTCACTCTGCTCGTTGCTGTATTACCAGCCGAGAGGAAAGTTGTAATTAGTTGACGCCGGCAGGCAATTTTCGCTACACATAATTACTTATGTAGTTAATTAATCATGATTTTGCGCCAGTTACAACAGCTTGACTTTCCTAGCTTTCCATTGGAAGTGGCTTTAAATGCAGCATTAACGTGTTTTTCGTTATTCATATATTTACACACATACAAATGTACATATATATGAACGTATTTCCTCTCAAACGCTTTCTTCTCTCGTTTACTTGCAGTGACGTGACCACCAATCAATGACATCATTGTCAATAGCAGCGCCATCGAGTGTCGAAACGTCATTAGTGGCAACAACTACGGACGCTGGAGGGGGACAATTGGACGAGATGGCAGAGCGACATGCCGCCGAGGAGATGGAGGCCAAACAAGAGCCAGCAGCTGGTACAAAAGTGATAAACAACAATAACCCAATAACCGATATTGTAAAAGAAACTAATGCAATGACGGCTGCAACAGCAATAGCAACAGCAACCGCAACAACAAGAACAGTGACAATGACAACAACACCACCACTCACTAGTGCAAGTAAAATACCACACTTGCAACAACAGTCGTCGCCGCAGCAATCGCCACAGTACACACACGGCCGCCAGTTGAAACAGTTATTGCACTCACCCGATTTATTGCGACGTTCCGCGTCACTGCGCGTGCGCGGTTCAAAATCAAATCTCTTCAACGATTACCGTGGCCACTATATGGAAATGGAACGCAGCACGCGCCACTTGAGCAACGCCACGCCGCATACGGCCAACACCCGCTACAATCACCCGCTGATGGGGGCGCTTGAACAACAGCAACAACAACCACAGCCAACAATGCAACGTGACACACACGAACCGCGCAACGCTGCCAACGCCACCACAGCCGGTTCGTTTGGGGGTGTTGTTGCTGTTGCAACGCGTCGCAAGGCCGCCGTATTACTGCCTGGTTCAACATTGTCTACGCAAACACCCGCTGTCACAGTTGGCAATCTGACGCGTTCGCAATCGTTGCGTCGTAGTTATCTAAATCATCAAAACAACTATTACGCGCAGCAGAAAACTTTCAAAACGGATGCACTAAAGGATAAAAGTGCCGGAGGCGTCACAGCAATTGGCTCTGGAGCAGAAACAACTGGAGCTGATGTGGCAATTACAGGAACTGTAGGTGCTGATAATGTGGCGCCTCTAAAAACAAGTACACAGCGTGAACAGCAGCAGCCTGCTGTTGGTGAAAATTATGCCGTCCCAAATGGTAGCGTGCAAGGCAATGACATAACGTACAAAATGGACGGTGTTGATGGTGGAGTTGGAGTTGGCGAGCTGCGGCGGATTGACAGGGATATGCAGAAAATGGTAAGTGAATGAAATTTTCAGTTCATTAAACTTTTTTTTTTTGTGGTTTCCTAAATGTATTTTTGTGTGTGCCATTGCGTGTACTATTTAAATTTTGCATCAGTTTGGAAACGCATATCTCTTGAGGCTGGGAGTTACGAGTTCTATTGATTTTCTGACGCCTGTATCGCAAAATTTCGTAAGCGAAAAATATATACTAAACTACCCTGCATTTTCCATATGGAAATAAGTAACAAAATTTTGCAACCATTTTTACACACTTGCATATATGTATGTATGTACATAGCTAGCAAATGTAACATTGTAGTGTAAATAGTTTGGCTAGAAGAAGCATTGCGCGTAAAAGCCCCTCGAGCTTCGTTTAGTTTTTAGGTCAAAGGAGAATGAGTCGACGAAGCCAATTTTTGTTATGGTTGTTTGCTCCTACAGTAGCTACATACATACATACATACATTATCTATGTATGTATGTACATACCCTGTGCGGAAACGCACTAGTGCCGAACTGGTTCGGTACTATATAATTTACAGCCATGACTAGTGCGCGTTACTTCTAGTTCGCTCAGCATCCCTTTTTACATAGTTCCGAACCAGTTCCAAAATCGTCAGACGAAAAATGTAACATGATTTTTTCAACCAGAGTCTGTTTGGTTTTCCCATGGCACCATAGGTAATTTGATCAGTTTGTGTGGCCAAAAGTCGCTTTTCGTACTTACAAAGGGTAAATTTTTGGCCTTGGTATTTGATAAACAAAACTTCAAACCTGTTTTTCTTCTGTTCTGCTGTTTTTGTAAAAAACGAACGAGAACTGCTTAGCAGGTGGTCAAAGTCGTTGTTTGTGAGTGAAATATTGGAATCGATTTGGTGTTCTGTTTTTTAGCTATTTTCGAACGACCATATTTAAATTAATAATTATCAAAAAAATTACGAAAGATATAGGGAATAAAAAAGTAAGTACTTTAAAGATCTATAACTGTTTTATTTTATATAAATTTTTTTTTTAGTGAAAAATATATATTTACTTCCGATATACCCTTTAATTAATTTTTTTTTCTTAAAAATGATATTTGAATATGCTTTTGAAATGTTGGCCGTGTTAAGACTTTCGAAAATGTGTAAAATGAAGAGTTTTCAGTTTAATCTGTCAATTTCATGTTGCGATTTTTTGTGTTAATTCTGAGAAAATTGCTCTTTTTGTAGGTATTCTTTATACTGTCAGTAGTGAACTGTTTGGATGGGAGAACTCAATAAAGAGGAAACAATATGCTGTTTGCAATTTTGTTGCTGCAAAGGCTATCCCTTTTAACTTTTCAGCACAAAAATTAGGACGTTTAGGGAATTCAGGTTTTCAATTGAAAACAATATAATTTGGCAATGCTTTTTAAAATTAGCCACTCTATAAGTTGCATTTCAATATAAATATTTAAAAAAAAAAGTACATGCAAACTTTTTCAGTATAACCACAAATTAAAAAGTGACCCATCGGTCGTCAAGGGTTAAGGTTTTTTTTTTTGGCAAAAACGTGGGAAATCGAATTCCAATCAATACAAAAATATGGTTTGTTAAATTATCTACTTATATGACCATAATTAATTTTGGCCACGAGAATGGGCAAAATTACACATAGTGCTTGGTAAAAATTTTGAATTCGTAGAAATTTTAAATTATTTTCAAAGGAATGTGTTTTAAATTTGAAATCAAATTTGTTTGAAAAAATGTAATTCAATCTGAGCATATGAAACCACGTTAACATATTGACGGCTGAGTGGAAGATCGACCTATCTCAGCAGCCGATTCGAAAACGCCCTATGCCAGAAAATGGCCCAAGACCGCTCTACTTCAGCATTTGTTTGAAAAACGCTCAGAAAAGCTCTCAGAATTTGGTGGAAGTAATTTACTTCGAGATAGGGCGTTCTTGAACCATTTTCTGAGTTAGGGCGTTCTTTAGCCAAATTCTGAGGTCGGGGTTTCTTGAAAAATTTGCTGAGATAGGGCGTTTTCGAAACGGCTACCGAGATAGGTCGATCTTCCACTCAGCTGTCGAAATGTAACTAGTTAGTAGGATGATTGACTCGGTTTTTCTAAACAGGTTTCCACCGGTTTTTTTTTGGAAATCTATAGGTTGTTTTTTTTGAAATATTGATTTTTCGAATATCGAATAAACCGGATTTTCGATCGAACAAACCGGGTTTTTTCATTGCATCCAAATCTTGAACTCTGAATAAAAATTTTAGGTTTTTCGAAATTTTTCAGTTCAAGGCCTTAAATAGTTTAAAAATTATATCCTAAGTTATTTCGGGATGCATTGTATATTATATTTGATAATAACGAATGCTTGGCGCTCAAACACTTTCTACGCATTTGGCCGAGCTTCTCTTCGCATTCGTGTTCTGTTTTTTATGGCGGAAGTACAATAGGTCTGCCGAGGGGCAACAGCTGCTTGAAAAAAAACTTCTGTTGATGTTGCTGGAACCATAAATTGAACCAGGGATCTCCCGAGTGGCAGTAGGCACCTCTAAGCACTCGGCTACGTCGGCAAAAAGTTAGAAAATATGCTATATAGTATTAAAAGAAGACCAAACGTGAATTCTTCACTGATATTTATTTGCTTTAATTTGGATATAAAAAAAAAAAAAACTTTGTACCTATTTTGTTTTACTCTTTTCTCAATAAGAGTTATCTTTACTGTTAATAGTTTTATTGTAATTTTTGGTCATGACTTCATACCAAAATAAGTTTTTTCACTGTATAAAAACTATGTAAAATAAAACCGGTTCATCCGGTTCGTTTTTTAAAGGTACCATATTTCGCTGCTTTTGAACTAGTTACTATCGGACTAGTTAGTTTCGTGGTTTCCCTGCACGGTAGATATGTATGTACATAAGTGTACCGGTGTGCACATATGATACTTGTCCACGTGCCAAGTTCTTGGAGCTTAACGACCTCTCAGAGTTGCATTTATCGGTCGTGTTTGTCTCTTTTTTTAGACGAGCTACGTAGATTTCGGCATAATATTATAGTGTGTACAACTAAGGTACTTACAATAGTAAAAAAATTAATGGCATCCGATATTTGATTTTGCGGGAAATATCGTAAACTTGTAAACACGTACAGCGTTAAAGCGCCAAAATCATTAGGATAGATGGAGCAGTAATTTCTTCGAATAGCTAGAGCGAATTACAAATGAAACTGCATTCTATATTCCATTCAATGTCTATACCTCTTGTCTAAAGCAATGTCACATATTCCTTCCAGGCAAATACATTCATTTCTATTTTCTGGCACGATCAAAGATTAAATAGTGGGAGTCCCAACAAAGCAAATCAGTGTTCTCCCACACTTTTTTTTGGAACTTCAGCGTTAATTACTCCTAGATCATTTGGAGAGAAGAAACTCAGAGGTATACTTCTGGGAACACGTTATGATCTCTTGCAAGGGTGCTTGAACTTTGTCACAAAGCGGTCTTCTAGCTGCGGGCTTTCTATTATTTAATTCTAGCAAGTCGGTGCGCGTCTTGTCCACCAGAAGGTGTAAAGTGTCTAATGCTCAGCTTTACTCAATTGGTGTATATTACCGATTAGAAAGGTAAATATTTAAGTAACTACTCTGACAGCAGAAGGGCAATCAGGGCTCTATGATCGCTTATGGAGCTATCGAAATCGGCCAGAGAATGCGTGACCTCTCTCACAGTCGCCTAGGATTACTTTCAAATCAGATCATTTTGGTTGAGGGTTGGGTCGACCCCAGGCGGTCATAGGAGCTTTTTCAGCTAGTTAAGAGCTTTCTATAAGTATCCAGACTGGTCACTGTCAAATCGAAAAATAATTGGCTATTTCTAAGCACGGCGTGGTGAAATCATCTCAGAATTTCCTTCCCAGCTTTCCTGCTTAAGTTGTAGCTTTTTATAAGGGCCAATCCATGTCAAATCAACCAATTGTTGGGATCGACCATTTTTCATTAGTATGAATTTGGGTCAGAACTTTTTTGTATCTTATAAAGAAGTTCTGCAAAAGAAATAAAAAATTTGTTTCGAAATGTATATCTTAAAAATTATTATAGTTTCAAAAATGGTTCTAATCTTGCTTTAAAGGAAATTAAAAAAAGTGTTAAAAGCAAAAACTTAACATTTTTGGCATAATTCTTTATACCATACCTTCAACTGATCTTAAAAGATCCTGAAAATTTCAAGGTGCTTTTTTAAGAAGTGAATTTTTGATCTTCGAAAAAATATTTTCTTTTGCAAGCTCTATATACTTTATATGTTAAACAATTTTTACTTAATTTAAATTTATTTTTAATTTAGAGTTTGCAATATTTTTTTTCTCAAAGTTCAAAATATTATACATATCTTTAAAAAACTCTTCTTGAAAATTTCAAGATCTTTTAAGATCAGTGAGATGGTACAAACCAAGTAATAGATAAGTTTTAGAGTACCGTTAACTTTTTCAAGATCCAATGATCGCAACTAAACAAAACTCGTATGGAACCACCCCTGAGGTACCACCTTTCCGATAAAAAAAAGTTTCTTTAAAACGGTTCACGTGGCCCAAGTTCCTCCTTTTTTTGAAGCCGGTTAAAACTTGAGGCAAAAATTTACATACGTTTTTATACCCGAGCGCACTTGTGCACAAGGGTATTATAACTTTGTTCACATAACGGTTGTTTGTAACAGGCAAAACGAATCGAGATAGATATAGACAAATGTAAACATAAATGATCAGAATAAAAAGAGAAATCGATTAAGCGGTGATTGTCTGTCCGTCCGTCCGTCTGTGCACACGATAACTCGAGTAAAAATTGAGATATCTTAACGAAACTTGGTACGTGCACTTCTTTCTGGCGTAGGACGGATGGTATTGAAAATGGGCGAAATCGGACTGTAACCACGCCCACTTCCCATATAACGGTAATTTCCAGAAATACGAAAACTGCGATATTTTAGTAACTACTGAAGATTATTCACTCAAAATTGATATTTACAATAGGGGTATTCTCTGAGTCTTGCAAAGCCCTTGGACGGTGCATAGATTGCACGGATTGCACGGTAAAAACCGGTTTTCGTATGGGACAGCTTTGCAAACCGTGCAATCCGTGCACCGTGCAAGGGCTTTGCAAGATCAGAGAATACCCCTAATAAGTTTTAGACGAAGAATAAGAATATTATAGATTTTTGGAAAAT